TAGCACCACTTTTGGTAGCTACTAACCACTGCATACTAGGTACATTCCACAAGACTTGCCATTTTGGAGATGCCCTGACCCAGTTGTCTAGCCTTCACTATGTGGTCCTTGTCAAAATCACTCAGATATTTTCGATTGCCCTTTTTTCCTGCTTCCAACACATGAAATTCAAGAGTGATTGTTCACGTGTTGCCTAATATATCCCACCCATTGTATGTGATTTTATTATTGTTGCGGTCCCTGAATGAAACACGTTGGACCTATTGCTGCATTCTTAATTTTTATTTTTATGGTGTGTTTCACCTTTTAAAAATAAAATAATTGGATTTTGATTATTACTTACTTGGAGTCCCGTGTACCATTGGCTACTTCGCATTGGCAAGGGGATTACTAGCCCCCATACCATCAGGGGAGGCACCTTATGAGCGCCCTTTTCTTCATCATCTTGTGAGTGCATTTACTAACAGCGCAAGATTTATTGTGCATACTGTATTACATTATTTTGCTTTTGTATGTTTTCTCTATAGATTATACAGCCGTATCCCGATTCTGTCTGCGTTTTTTTGATATCCCACCCATTGACAGGTCCCACTGTCATGATATAATCAATGTTATTCACTTGTCCTGTCAGTAGGTTTAATATTGTGGTTGATTATTGTATACATCTGTATACATATACAGATAAACCCTTCTTTAACAAACTATGTAATTCCCCTACTTTAACCCTTTGTGTCACTATACCCCACTCCCTCTAGCATGTAAGCTCATCGAGCAAGGCCCTCAACCCCCTCTGTTCCTGTACGTCCAGTGGTCTGATCTCAATTATGTGTCTGTTAGTCCATTCATTGTACAGCGCTACGGAATTTGTTGGCGCTATATAAATAATAAAATAATAATAATAACAATAATAATATACATAACCATTTCTCTTTATGAAATGACCAGAGGCTGAACAAAGAGCCTCCTCTGCTGATGAAAAATGTATCCTTTCAAGCAGAATGCATTGCTAGAGTCAAAGACAGAAATCAAGATTCCATAAGGCAGTGACTAACTGAACATGGCGAGTATATATTTCAAAGTGCTGTTTTATTGAGTATTTCTATAATGTCAATATATTCATCCAGTCTGTTCCTGTTTATTAATTTTACTCATTGTGGAAATGGGTTAAGACTCTGTATATGTTATCTAAGAGCATTCATTATGCTTATCTGACAATGTGTTGCTCAATGTCTCTTCTTGACCTACATTGTTGCACTCACATTACAATATAACAAGTTGAACTCAGATCTGCTACATGAGAATTATATATTTTTTTTGTTTTGTGTCCATCTGTCAATTCACTTTATTACGCTTTGGTACTTTTTTAAAATAGATGCAAGTAGTACATAATTTATGAATGGCATATATTAAGGACAATTAACATGCAAAAGGCTTGCTTTTAAACCTCTGTTTTATTTTTCAACAAATTTAAATAATTAATCCCTATTGTCTTTTGAATGCGTTTGTTGCAATGACAGCTGTTTAACGATAGTTCATTAATGTAAATTGCAACTAATAGCTATAGTAAGGTACTGTCCCTTTTCTATAGTGAGTTAATTTATATATTATAATAAATAAAGATTGAAACATGAATCTCATTATTATTATTATTAGTCGGTTAAAACATTCTAGTGTCACCTTACAGATAAATTGCATCTTAATTTAAAATTTCGGCTTAAATTACCATTGAGTATAATTTTGTGAAGAAGAATTTAGCTTACATTGCTCAGTAGGGGAAAGTTTGCAGATTTTTAAGTTAGGTCTCAAATTTGCAAGTCTTAATGTGGACATTTAGTGAGTAAAAGAGACTGTGTGTGTGTGTGTGCGTGTATGCGTGTGTGCGTGTGTGCGTGTGAGAATTGTCATCTATGTCTAGTTAAATTACTTTTGTGAATAATACACTTTCTAAAGCTTGGTCGTCAATAACATTCACATTGCATTATACATTCTTTTTTTCAGATTATGATTTTATCATATGTAACCAATTAAAATGTGTGTGTAGTATTCTAAACTGTATTTGATTAGGTTGCTATTATCTTGTCCTGGCAAATTTAATGGTAATTGCCGCATCTATATTATTATTATTATTATTATTTTATTACTTATATAGCGCCATCAGATTCCGTAGAGTTGTACAATAGGTGGACTAACAGACATGTAATTGTAACCAGACAACTGGACATACAGGAACAGAGAGGTGAAGGGTCCTGCTCAATGAGCTTACATTCCAGAGGATCCCACTGTACTTTATTATTATTATTATTATTATTATTATGATATTTATATAGCGCCATCAAATTCCGCAGCGTTTTACAATGGGTGGACGAACAGACATGTAGTTGTAACCAGACAAGTTGGACACACAGGAACAGAGGGGTTGAGGGCCTGCTCAATGAGCTTACATGCTAGAGGGAGTGGGGTAAAATGACACAAAAAGGTAAGGATAGTATTAGACTAGTGACAGTTGCAGAAGAGGAATCAGTCAGGAGCTATTAACAGTTTAATTGATACGCTTTTATGAAGAAGTGGGTTTTTAACGATTTTTTGAAGGAGTGGAGACTGGGTGAGCATCTAACAGAGGAGGGAAGCGAGTTCCACAGGAATAGGGCAGCCCTCGAGAAATCTTGAAGGCGAGCATCAGAGGTGGGAGTATGGACAGAAGATAGATGTAAGTCTTCAGCAGATCGTAAGGGCCTAGATGGGACATACTTGTATAAAAGGGAGGATAGATAGTTGGGAGCAGCATTGAAAGCAAGAACCAGAATTTTGAATTGAGCTCTATATTTTATAGGAAGCCAATGTAGGGACTGACAGAAGGGTGAGGCATGGGAGGTGCGGGTGGACAGGAAGATGAGCCTAGCTGCCGCATTCATTATGGACTGTAACGGCACAAGTTGAGAGCACGTAAGACCACTGAGAAGCGGATTACAGTAGTCAAGGCGAGAAAGGACAGTGGAATGGACCAACACCTTAGTCGCATCTGGCGTTAAATAGGGGCGGATGCGTGCTATTTTTTTGAGATGGAAATGACAGGATTTGGCAATAGATTGAACATGAGGCTTGAAGGAGAGGTTGGAGTCAAAGAGAACACCTAGGCAGCGAGCCTGCGTGGTGGAGCTGATGGTAGCACCGTAGACTTGGAGGGAGACAGACACAGGAGTAACAACACTTGAGGAAGGAAAGACCAGAATTTCAGTTTTGGTCAAGTTTAGTTTAAGGAAATGGGCAGTTATATACCATCCAGGTAGTAATATATCACCCATATCTTCCAGGGTTAGTAACAAAATCATGAATTGTCATCAATTCTAAGTGAAATTAAAGTTTTTGTTCTTACTAAAACTGAAGCTAACACAGACAATTTTACCAAAGCTGCTTTGCCCTAAAATTTTAAATTAACTTTGAACTCATTTTAATTCTTGACCATTTGGGAAAATAGCCAATGTCAATACCATTAAATCCGACTTAATAAATCAGACTAATATTTACTGCAAAAGATGTAAACATTTTCAGATGCAAAAAATAGCTCTTCTTACCTGCTCTTAATTAATTACAGGCAGATTGACATGACAAAAAAACTTCTATAAACATGCTCATGGTGTTTAGAGTAATGCGATGATTTAATAATGATTAATGTAGCTTCAATTGTATGTTTTGTAACATTAGTAACTTTCACACTAGTTAGCTCACTCATATTTACATTTGTATTTCCTCACCATAGTTTCCCTGTACGTAGAACCAACTTGTGTTTGTTATTTTTAACTAGTGGACACATTTTGCTCCTATTAAATATGCTGATAAACAATGCTGGTCCTTGCATAATATCTCATTTTGTGCAACAGAGCTCTGCGTCATAATGAGGTCATTCATTTATTTGCATGGCAGTTCTCTAATATAATTCTGATCAATGTGTAGGGGTGTGTTTGTAATATGCACGAATAGACAACTCCCAATATATTCGTTTTTTCTGAAAGTTCCAAATATTTTTTCCCAACATTCTATAATCAGGCATGATCTTAAAACTTAATTATGAAAATAAATAGCAGATTTTGTACACTAATGTGATTTTTCCAGAAATTCACAGTAAATTTAAAATGTTAGGATAAAAAAAGGCCTTCTGGAAAAATTTCCAAGTCAACTATATTTTCAATTTGCCTAATTTGTTCAGAATTATCACATTTACTTTGCATTTGCAACAAATCCTACAGGAAATCGTAAGCATGTTTTATCAGTGGAGATTTATCTTTTTTACCTACTGCTCAGTTTGTTAAAGAAACATTCTATACAGACTGACCTTGTCTTTTCTATATTCTATTTTTGATTACAGTTTATTTTGTTTTTGTTTTCATTATCTTTGACTATATATTCAGCTTCCATTTATTGCTGTGAAGCCCTCTATCCTTCACAATATATGACTGTAATGTTGTACTCTATTATGATAATAACAAAGTATTTAACCAGGAAAGGTACATTCAGCTTACTCTGGTTTTTAAAGTACATCCTGGTATGTTACCTTAGCCCAACATTCAGGGGTATACTTAAAGGGAAATACAAAGCTGTATTTCTGGCACTATAGCTCCCTCTGCTTCCCCCCTCACCCGGTGAATAAAGAGTTAAAACCCCTTTTAACTTACCTTACCCCAGCGCAAATGTACCTCGGCTCTGGATTGTGGCTTCTCCTTCGATGTCCCACGAACAGCTGGAGCTAATAGTGCTAACAACTAAGTGCAATAGGGACACTGCACCCAGACCACTTCAATGAGCCGAAGTGGTCTGAGTGCCTATAGTGTCCCTTTGATATCTGAAACAAAAATATTTTATTTGAATATATTGAATATACATCGGGATTTTTTTTTTAAATTTTTTTTTTTTATGTGCACTTGGAATTTCTATATATTGTAGTTTTCTTTTTTCACCACTAGGTGGAATGGTCCTATCGAGGTTTGCATCCAATACTAGCTAGACCAGATCTTCCCCAAAACTTAGATCTGCAGATGTTGTAGAACTACAACTCCCATGATGCTTTGCATGCCTTTAGAATGCTTTAGAATTCCAAAGCATCATAAAAGCTATACTTTAAAAACTTATGGAACTACCTTTTGAGCACCCCTGATCTATACATTTCTGTATTAAGTTGTGTGCTCCTATACCTTTCATCAGCGGATACTCTGAACATTAGATATTTTACATTTATATAGACAGATATAGACATTTTACTCTGATACACACATGCATTTACACAGACTGACATTACACACAATCACACACAGGACCTACATTTGACTTAATGGCCCATATTGCACTTATTACTAATATGGTAAAGGCAGACATTTTAAATCTAATGAATTTAAATTGCCCCAATGCATGAGCTTAATCATTTTAAAGGAGAATCATCACTTTTTTGGAAATAAAAATACCAGTGATTAAAAATGTAAAATAACCTATAATATGTCTTAATAACGTGTTATTTGTTTTTAATGCGATGCTCTGTTTTTTTAATTGTATATTAGAGCCATTGATATAACAATCCAATGCAATTTGGGTACAGTCAGGGCACACAATGCATTGGAAGAGAAGGAAGAGAAATGCTGTATCTAATTTTCCACTTCCAAAAACTATATTTAACGGTACAAAAGGGCGGTTATTATAAAAAAGATTGACAGTGAACCAAAATGGAGACATTTTAATTAATTAAAAAAAAGAAAATCTGTACATTTATGCACCACGATTTATTTTTCATAGGTCATGAACACATATTTCTTAATTATAGGGAATAAGTAAACACGATCGTGTATCTCAATCCTGGAATGTGACAGTGCCCCTTTAACATAGTTTTCTGTTGGCTTAAATAACAGAAATCTATAACTTAACAGAAGGAGCAATCATTGATTGTAATTTCAAAAGATTATTTAATGATTGAATTTACAACACCTACGTAGATCTTATCAGAGCATCGGAATACAAACATGTCATAAAAAGTATTCATGTATTGCGCATAAAAAGCTAAACAAAAGTTGTTCTGAAAATACCGTATTACCTTTTATAATTATACGAAAAAATAACCCTTAAAATTACTTGTTTGCAAACAAGAAGTGCTACAAATGGATTGCAAGCCTGCCTCTAAGCTCTATTTAACAAATCAAATATTTATACAAATCTATTTTCTTCAACTGTGCCGAAGTGCCAAAACATATACTTTACAGTTAATGCGAGTCCGTACTGTGTTTGCAGCACAGTTTAATGTATAAAACCACTCAATAGCCAACATATTTCACATTCAACTCCCCACTGAACTTTTATCGTATTTCAATTTACTCTAACACCATTCCTCGGAATAAAAACATGTCATAGTAAATGGTCCCGTTGTAAATAATTATAGAAAAGACTTCTTTAAAAAAAAATTATTTCACCGGACCTTATGGATTAATTTGCACTATTTTCCTGGTTTAAAAAAAAAGAAATAGGCAATTTTATTATACAGTAAACATTTTCAAATTTTAATAAGAATTTTCGTGATTTATTTCCCAAATAATACTAAAAGAAATCTTAACCTCAATCGATATTTCTCTGATGTCAAGACGAATTTAGACACCATATGCATTTAAAAGCACAGCTAGAGGTGCATTTTACATTCATGGTGCTTGAAGTGCACCATGGGCCACCATGCAATATCCCAACTATGCTGATGTAGGTAGGATGTTCAGCAAGTCTTCTTAATTATGCTCTGTAGTATACCAGTAGTAGCAGTAGTATAAATAATCATACAGTATGTCAGTAATAATTCATATATCCATCAATGGACTGATAATGTAGGTCTTGCAATACAATGACTAGACTGGCTATGAAAAACTATACTCTGAAGAACAGTAAAGGCAGAAAATAAGGCCAAGACGTTTTTGGAAACACATACGATCCATATGCTGCTGGTGTGAAACACATGTGGCCAGTTTTTGGAAATTCTCCCCAAAATAATTGAAAAAAAGTAGGTGATAGCCATCTGCAAGGACTGCAGAAGTATGATCAGGAGCAGCTTATCTGGTGAGGTTCCATATAGTAGCCATAGTAAGAAAATTCTGAGTCATCTGCAAAATAAAAAGTAGAATAATAGACCCAGATAAATAGCATTGGGGTCATTTAATGGGGTCCATTTTTTTTTTTTTTTGTGGAGCCGATCTGTATGAATTAATCTATATATAGCCAATTTGTAAATGGTCTGAATATTTTTGTCTCAGTTTAAGCAACCAAATTAATATAATAGTCTATCTGGTTGTACTTTAAAAAGTATATACAATCTAAAATGGCCACCACACCCACCCCCCGGCTCTTTTACAACAGCTGACCAAAGACCTATACAATTCCATAAAACTTCCGTAATTTTTAATGTTTAATCTATTTTAAAATGTATATCATTCAAAGTTATTTGGTTTATACCATATTGCCTTTGGTGTTGTAATTATATCTCTAAAACACTGTAACATAAATCACTTGTGATATAAAAACAAACCCCGCTGGCTCACTGCAGCTGCTTTGCTTTTGCTATCAACATGTATAGAAAATCAGAAGTGGAAGATGTGCTAAAGTCTCTATAATAGTTGTTGTAAGTAGGGATGTGCATGGGCCAACAATTTGGTTCGGTTCGGAAATTCAGGTAAGTAAAAAAATGTGTCTGCTTCATCAATTCTGACCAATGGCATTTGGTTTGGTTCAGCATTTACGAAATTTGGCAATTCAGCACTTCCGCCATTCGGAACTTCAGTCATTTGGACCCTACCCCTAATCCTACCGAGGGGCGTATTAGCCGCGAGGCAAACAAGGCATTTGCCTTGGGTGGCATTTTTCAGGGGGCGGCAAAAAAGCCGCCCCCAAATGCCCAGGGCAAATGCCTTGTTAGCCTCGCGGCTAACAGACATGCCGAGCGGGCGGCGCTGGGCGGGCGGGCGGACGGGCGGCCGGGCAGGCGGCGAGGGAGTTCTTCCCCTGAGCGCGCCGCCGAGTGAGGCTGGGAGCCGGAATATGACGTCATCAACCTGGCTCCCAGTGGAAGAGCTCCCTTGCCATGGGAAGAGCTCCCTTGCTGACCGCCCGCCCGCCCGCCCTGCAGCCACATGACCCCAGGACCCCAGGACCCCAGGACCCCAGGGAGAGGAAGAACCCCCCCCCAGCATTCCCAAAGGTAAGGAGGCTGGGGGGGGTTAAATAAAAAAAAAAAAACACAAGTGAGTGTGTTAGTGTGTGTGTGTATGTTAGTGTGTGTGTATGTTAGTGTGTGTGTGTGTGTGTGTGTATGTTAGTGTGTGTATGTTAGTGTTAGTGTGTGTGTGTGAGTCTGTTAGTGTGTGTGTGTTTGCCTGTTAGTGTGTGTCTGTTAGTGTGTGTGTGTCTGTTAGTTAGTGTGTGTTTGCCTGTTAGTGTGTGTGTGTGTTTGCCTGTGAGTGTGTGTGTCTGTTAGTGAGTGAGTGTGTCTGTTAGTGAGTGAGTGAGTGTGTGTCTGTTAGTGAGTGTGTGTTTCTGTTAGCTAGTGAATGCGTATCTGTCAGTGAATGTGTGTGTGTGTATTTAGAAGGCGGAGCAGGGGGGAAGGGTTGGGTGGCGGTTGCGCGGGGGCGGTGGCGCGGGGGGGTGCCTGAGTTTTGTCCTCCCTAGGGCAGCACAAAACCAGGATACACCACTGATCCTACCCCTAACTCTAACCCTAACCCCTAAGCCCTAAACCCTAACCCACGTCGGAACTTTAGCAATTTTGAACTTTGGCAAATCGGAACTTCAGGAATTTGGTTCGGTTCAGCACTTTGGAAATTCAGCACTTCGGAAATTTGGCAATTCAACCTTTGGATATTCGTAGGCATCCTAATGTCTGAATTGCATGAAATTCATCCAAATGTACATTCGGAACGAAACGAATTGCACATGTCTAGTTGTTAGAAGGTTTCTATTTAACCAAAATAGGTAGAAACTATACTTGTTAACGCAACCTGGAGAGATTCTTCATCTAAAGTACTGATATAGAGAGACTTATAGACAAGTATTTATTGACTTATGCATGTACAAAGGCAGTGATATACACACATATGCATTGATACGTTATCATCCATTATAGTCCCCTATTTCACTCCAGCCCGATTTGGTCCCTTGTGCCTGTCTCCAGTTCCTCCATCATTCTGTGCCCAACAGAGCATGGAGCATGCATTCAGAGTACATTGTGTCTTACTACTCTACAACCAGAGGCCATCTATGTCCCCACACAGTTTCACTGAGCCATCTCTATCCCAACACAGCATCTTTGTCCCTAAACCACTAATGATCAGTGCCATCTTTGTCTCAAAATTGCAAATCAGAGTCATCTTTGTGCCCAAATTGTTCATCAGTGCCATCAATGTGCCGAAATGGTTCAGCAGGCCATCTTTAAGCCCAAAAAGAATTACCATATTTGTCCACAAATGGCTGGCCTGTGCCATATGCTAGACCCGCTTCAGTCTGGTTTCCGCGCTAAGCACTCTGTGGAAACGGCACTGACCAAAGTATCCAATGATATACTAATGCAAAATCTCATGGTCACTACTCTATCCTAATTCTCCTTGACCTGTCTGCGGCTTTTGACACTGTTGATCATCAACAGCTTCTTCTCATCCTCCGCAATATTGGCCAACAAGATATTGCTCTCTCCTGGTGCTCCTCCAACCTCTCCCAGCGCCCTTTCAGTGTTTCTTTCTCTGGCTCTTCTTCTTCTCCCCAACTCCTCTCTGTTGGTGTCCCCCGATGTTCAGTCCTTGGTCCCCTACTGTTCTCCATCTATACTGCCTCCCTTGATAAACTCATTAGCTCCTTTGGCTTACAATATCATTTCTATGCAGATGACACGCAAATCTACCTGTCCTCTCCTGATCTCTCCCCATCCCTCTTGAGTAGTGTCTCTGGCTGCCTCTCTGCTGTTTCTAACTGGATGGCTGCCCACTTCCTTAAACTAAACTTGACCAAAACTGAAATTCTGGTCTTTCCTCCCTCAAGTGTTGTTACTCCTGTGTCTGTCTCCCTCCAAGTCAACGGTGCTACCATCAGCTCCACCACGCAGGCTCGCTGCCTAGGTGTTCTCTTTGACTCCGACCTCTCCTTCAAGCCTCATGTTCAATCTATTGCCAAATCCTGTCATTTCCATCTCAAAAACATTGCGCACATAGGCCC